TGGTAACCCTATTTCGCCAAAGAGCGTTTCTCAGAACTGTTGCATCAAACGTTTTGTTCCGGCAACAAATATCGTATGTGATAAGGGTTTTAGGCGCGATAGAAGCTTTAGCGTGATAGAAGCTTAGGGCGCTGCGATTCTCAGCACTATTTTTGTCAGTCATTTTACCAAAGAGGGTGGAAATTTCGCTTCAAAAAGCTGGTGAATATGAGGTCTTAGATAATATGGATATATTTCCAACAATATTCAAAAGTTTAGGAAACTTTTATATTGCAGCTTATATATTTGGAAAATTTTTTCTTTTAAAAGGATTGCATTCAAAAGGATATCTTTTATTGCATCAGGAAATGTAAACAATTCAATCAACCATGAGCAATAAACATGAAACGTGAACTCCCACTTGCTCCCACTCTCCTTCTTTAAGCAAATATATCTGGCAATGAAAAAGCGACTAAACATTTTTCGCGGGTGCATTGCGGTTGGTTGTTTTTAGTAAAGACGTTTAGCTATAAATTATGTATGTTTATTAGCCCTTTTTTTTAATAGTAGTCTAAAATTAAATCGGTAAAAGTGAGTATTTTTAATTATATTTGTACGATAATTCTGATCGTTTCCCAAGTCTTATCACTTCCTAAAAATTAACCTTTTTTTTTTCCCTGAAGTCTAAATTTAGCTCATTTTACATCGTTATTAGCTTAGCAAATAAATCTGTATGTTATTACTATTATGCATTACATTATAAACGAATTGCTTCTGAAACGAATTAGTTGCTTTAGAAGCAATCGCCACCATATGTTAATGACAAATTAAACATGCAGCCTAGATTTTGCGTGTACCTGCCCAGCGTAATTGTGTCAAAAGTGTTAGAAACGTATGGTACTTAAAAGGATAACATAATTCATTTTATTTCTGCTCTCTCTGAACTGTTTTATTCCTTGAAAGATTTCTTTTAATCACGTTTTGTTATTCTGATGTAAACTGAATGCAGGATTTCTGAAGCGAGAAATATATTTGAAAGGTTTTGTGAAAAAGTAGGATAGTAGTTACGTAAAGCACCCGAAGATTGTTTTTATTTTAGTATATATTTCAAATATTTAACATTCTGTGTTATGAAAAAAAAAAAAAAAAAAAAACATTTAAAATGCTAAGTTCTACATAACATTGTTTGCTGTAACTAAAGAGGATAAATGTTCTTAAGCACATGGTATACTGGTGTTTGTGCTTTATTATTTACGTTGCTACTTTTAAAGTATTGTTAGTCTTTTCAAATTCTTAAAAAATCGTTTTGATTAACTAGCGAATTCTTGTACTTTTCTGTTACCATTTTAATTAGAAAATTGGCTTCCACTCTTTAGTCATATGATTTACGGACTGTTATTATAATTCATTTAATGTATTACCTCTTATAAGATGTTTTGATAATATGTGTATAAAGTTCCAGGAAGATTTCATAGAAACAACAGTAAATTACATGGTTTCTCTGCGATAGAAGCTAAACTTAGCATTTCATGTTGTTATATGAAATGCTAAGTTTTAATAAAAGGACAAGCATTACAGCATTAACTATGCATTAAAATTTGAAGTTTTTTTTTAAATACAGTTTTCAGATACCGTGTCATGGGATATCGTTTGATACAGTACCTAAAAGATGTTTCCTTCTGCAATGGAATTAGTTTCATGTGGGATAATTTTTCTGTTTAATTATGAATTCCAGGTTTTAGCATAGTTAAACATAACAAATTTAGAGTTTTTTTTTTTTTTTGCACTGAAGAGCCATAAAATTAGATAACATTCGATATCATGACTCTAACCAAAACAGTACTCCTGTTGCGAAAGAGCATATAGTTTTCAGTTGTATTCAATTGTAAGTTCTAGCGAGATCATAAACCAACCTTTGATTAATTGATATCTGTATACAGTCATGAATTTTTTGTTAAAACTGCTGTGTTTTGCAAAATTACTTTTTATATGAACTTTGGGTACTTACGTAAAGCCACTGCAGCAGAAGTTGCACTGATGCGCCAATAAAGAGCAATCCTGTTGTTCGCACACAGTTATCTTTTGGATTCCTTTTTGCCGCCTTGTTTGCTGATTTTTGATGCCATTTTTTAGTGCTACGAAAATGTGTCTTTGGGATTTGCCAAACATAGAAGAAGATGCAATTTTATTTTTTCAAGAGCAAAATATTTTACCAAAAAAAATGAAAATGTACCAATTCGCATGATATAATATTTAAACATATGTTTGGAAAATGTAATTTAAGATAGTGTGATCAGCAGGTGGGACTTAGAAAAGACAATTGGTTTGAAGAAAGCAGAATTCCATTTTGTTCAGCTTTGAGATTCATATACTGCTGACGTCGATAAAATTTTGTGAAGAGCAACTTGATTTATCGGATAAAACTGTTATAGATTGGAACAGTTACATGCGTGAATGATGTGTCTTAGATATGGAGAATCAACCAAACAAGAAGGTGGCTGGACCAGATTGCTAATTGATGAAAGTTTGTTTACTAAGCGTAAAAATAATAATAAATAGTAGTCAATATTACCCGAACACCGTGTTTGGGATATGTAGAAAACAAAATATTCATTTGCTGTCACTATTCCTAATCGAACTGGCTCTACCCTTCTTAAATTATTGAAAACATTGCAGATTGTAGCACAATTTATTCTGATACAGTACAAAGTCTTTAATCTGAACTCGTCGGGACTTCAGCGATTCCGGATTAGGGGTTTTTCCGAATTATAGATCCTCAATTTAAATCTGGTAAGATGGCATGCAAAAATTATAAAATTAAAAATATGAAACCGTAGTTTATGAAATAAAGAGCAATTTTGATCTAAAGGGTATCAAAATTTTACCAAAAAAAAGCTTAATATTCATTTGTTTACTTTATTAAACATTTCTTTCAACGCGCTTATGCGTAAAGCATACATTACGCATGGTCGAAATTAGAAAATTTCAACCAGAAAACTATTTGATGTGTGTTCATGATATTTGTAATGATGAGGAATTTGTTTTAAATCATATCAAAGACTGAATACATAGAGATGAAATACTACATTTAGTAAGGAATTATAAGCCGAATAAAATAAAAACGTGCCCTGAAGATGAGGATAGTGCTGATAGATCAACTTCCAGTTCATTGCGCGCCACGACGTTCGCCCCCCCCCCCCCAAACACACACACAGAGCAGCGTGAAATTGATATTCAGATTTCAGAATGGTTAGAGAAACAAAGAATATGCCTTTATCCATTTTTTGCAGCAATTCCACTTTTGGTTTGATGGACATCAAAACATGCTTTCGCTTTGTAGATCATTTGGCAGCTCCAGAATCGGAAACTCTTTTTGACATAATTGAAAGTTCAAGCTTACTTTTAATAAAATTGCTCTAACAGTCTGCAAAAAATAATAAGTGGGATGCAATTTGAAGATTAAGGAACAACGCAATCTGCAACATTAACTGAAATAGATAATTAGATAATTTTAGCTTAGCTTATACAGTCCATTATACATTAAACACGCATGCGTAAATGTATTATGCACATGTGTAAAAGTATTATGCGCATGCGTGAACGCATTATGCTTTGACGCATGCGCAGAAAGTTTGTAGCTTTGAGGTCCAGATTATAGATCATTCCAGATTAACGACTTTTGACTGTATAAGATTTTGAATTATAAGTTACCATTCATCTTTAAAAAATCACCAGACTGTACCAAGGCTGTTGTACTAAGACATAAATACCAAACTAACTTTCATAACATCCAACTTAAATAGATAAAATAAACATTACTTACCTTTACAGTACCAGTAGTTGGAGCTGCTACTGGTGGTTCCGTTATACATTAAACGTGCATGCGTAAACATATTATGCACAATGCATAAAAGGTATTTGAAAGTTTGAAGCTTAGAGGTCCAGATTATAGATCATTCCGGATTAAAGACTTGGATTAAAAACCTGTAGTTGGAAAGGTTACCAAACAAATAGAATAGAAAAAGAAGGATTCCTACATGCTAAAGTTAATCATACATACAGTTTTATTTATCCTGATACAGGAGTTCATGCACAAACAGTTGAGAGAATGTGGGGCAGTGCTAAATGGAGGAACAAGAGACATAGGGAGACAGTGAGACATCTTTAGAATCTGGACTAATACTAAATAATAAACATGTCATGGTTATAATTTTGAACAATTCGCTATTGTCATTCTGAAACCAAAAAAATTTTTAATATTTGCGATCTTCCTTGGCAATACGTATAATTAGAAATGCTTTTACTATATGAGTGGAAAAAGCATTATTGTGTTCTCGGAATTTAAGAATGACATCTAAGATTTAAATTAGGTCCAATCTGTAACAAATCATTTAAAGATTTAGAATTTTCTCCTTTACATGACGCATCAAAACAATTCTAACACGAGAAGCTTCTTTATCTAGTCTTATCACTGCTCCATTGGGCATATAATAACCTGATTCATAATCTTGATTTTGATATACTTCAACTATTCTGTCATTGAGTTGATCTTGAATTATTTTTGTGTATTTCATTATGCATTTCTACATGCTTATCCAATCTGTCTCTCAAAATCTCAAAATGCTTCTTTGCAATATGAAAATTATTATTTAATTCATCAGGGTTAGATTTGTAATATTTCTTCATTTTTAACTGAGAATTGGTTGCTTGTAAAAAATATATTCTATGTAAGAGTATACAAAATTTGAAATTTGTTGACAATCATTCACTCAAATGCTATTCAGTGTCACCATGTTCTTTGTTGTAGTAATATGTGCTAAAACTTAATTCTGAATTTTATATTTGTTTATAGTTTCATATCAAAATAAAATATTGAATATTTGATTTTTATTTCCCATCAAGGTGCTATCCGAATTTGCTCAATTCTTGAACACAACATTTGATTGAGTACCATGTTTTAAAGTTTAATTCTGATAGTTATAGCTCATTTCAAAATACTAATCATTTAAGCACTATTTACAGCAAGATAAATGTGATGCATAAAATCAAGTGTTAAAAGTATAAAATATTAATGTACAATAAAATGTGGTTCTCATAATAAAGTGCTTATGTAGATCATGAGCCATAAAAAAGTGTAATATCATGAATTACTTGTATGAATATATACATAGATATCCTGTAAGTTGCATTTTTCTTAGCTTGCATGTCAAATACCCATTTTGTTTTTAACACTAAAAAAAAAGTATTTTTTTAGCAGTTCATAAAAGCCTTTTAGGTAAAAAAAATTAATTAATTAATTTTAAAAAAATTAAAAACAATAAGGAGAGCATTCCTCTGGAGAAAAAAATGACCAGTTACATAAAAATGATTAATGACTATAGTTGAGCCAGTTTTTCATCAGATTGTAACTTCTATCAAAGTGTGAGGCATATCTGCTGCACTGTTTTTAATGTGTGACAACCAGTGCAGTGAAATTAATTTTTTACAAATTTTTTAAAGCCACTAAAACTTTTGGCAATTTATCCCCAGATTGGTTTTTAAAACATGTATTAATGCCAGAAATTTAGTTTACCATTTAAATTTATTCTCTT